TTTTTTGGTGGTACGCGGGCCTCTCACTGTTGTGGCCTCTCCCGTTGTGGAGCACAGGCTCCGGTCGCGCAGGCTCAGCAGCCATGGCTCACGGGCCCAGCAGCTCTGTGGCATGTGGGATCTTCCCAGACGGGGGCACGAACCCATGTCCCCTGCATCAGCAGGCGGACTCTCAACCACTGCGTCACCAGGGAAGCTCCCATAGTCACTTTTTACCTCACCTCTTACCTCAATAGTACAACATCTCCACTGGACAGCCTTCCCACTGCCCCAAACCCAACATGCCCAGAGCAGGCTCACCATTCAAACCAGGTCTTCCCTCAACAGCCCCACTTCTAACATAGATGCCCCAATTCTTCCAGGACTCCAGGCTAGAGACACTGGGTCACCTCTGACCGTTACAGTTCTTTACCCAATCAGTTACCCAGTCCTCTTAAGTTTCTTGAATACTTCTTGAATATATGCCTTCCTCTCTATTCTATGCCTTTGCTCTCACATCGTACATGGATTATCCCCCCAAAACCTCCATCTTGGCCTTCTCTGGCATAAAAATTCATTCTTCTACCATCTTTCCTCACATCTCCTTCCCCACACAAGAGCCCAGAGGGCTCTCTACCATGCTGCCACATCAAATTTGAACTACCCTGCTTGTCTGTCAAAGCACCGTTATTTGGTGTCTACTTATCTAAACCCTATTTTCCACTGCTTTGGGAAATACCTGTGTTCTCATAATATTTTGCTCATACCTCTGTTAAAGTCCTTTTTACATTATATTGTTTACACGTCTCTTTTCCCTGTTAGCCAAGATTCCAGAGCTTATCTCAGTCTCTGAAGGAATCAGCACAGAACACAGTACCCAGTAGGCATTTAAAAGGGGTCTGTTGAATAAGTATCAATAGATTGCTCCTCAGGATAAGATCCAACAAGAAACTATTAAAGTAACCTAGCCATAAAGTGACAGCAAAGGAGTGGCAAAGGCTCCTCTACAAGTGCTTGTAGCCCTTTGTTCTTTTGTTCTGCAACACTTACCTCAACTCATCTAAATGTGTGATGTGTTCAGTGCCTGTTTCCTCATTCTATTATAAGTGCCATGTGGAAGACGGTGCTTGTTCATTGTTATATCCCAGGGTACAACGTCTGGTCTGAAGGAGTTCAAGGAATGCACAATGGACATTTGTTGAATGAATGCATACGAACCTCCTGTAATAAAGCTGGATCCCTCACTAGCCCCTTTACCCCTCACCACCAAACACTCCTGCTTCCTCTCTCTCGCACATGCTATTCTCTCCTACACAAATCTACCTTTAAGGACTAACCTAAATCCCACTTGCTTCATGAAAATGCTCCTGACTATTCCACATCCTTTATCTGTCTCTGATGATTTATCACTGACCTCTTATCACATCTATATTCTACATAAAACCAATGATCTCTTAATGAGACCATTATTGCTTTATCCTCTAATTGCTTCCTATATTAAAAATCTTTTCTCCCCAACCAGATATGGCTCCCTATGGATACACACAATAAACCTGTCTTGTATCTTCCAATACCTGTACAACACAGAGCACATAGCTGGCTCTCAAGAAATACTCATTTGTCGTCTGGGAAAAATGAAGCAAGGTACCAACTTTATCAGAAGGGAAATCAATTCTCCAGTCTTGGAGAAAACACCCTATTTCTTGTATGTGATCTTAGAGCAGTTCAGCACATCTGTACCTTAATTTGTAGTAAATGTGTCCTTAAGCTGAGAATATAATATAGTACTAAAAATCAAATGCTATTTTAAACTTAGGAGGAGTTTATCAAGAGAATAAATCCAACTTTGAATCATTTTTCTAAAGCAAACAATTCCCCCACTGATCTTCATTTATCATATACTAAAATAACATTTTAGTCTCTCAGGATTGCTTATCATAAAGAGAACAGGACTTGCAAAAGATAAGGGACTCGGAGGACAAAACATCTGGAGGAAATTCTCTTTCTGGCTTCTATTGAAAGTGTCATATGTTCTCCTTACTTATTCATTGCTCAGAGCTGGCTTGTAAAGGATAAATTGTATCCCAAATTATTAGGGCGATAAACAAAAATAGAAAACAGGGAAATAAGATACACTTGGCATTAATTCTTAAATTCACTCATTCATTTACTCATCCAATAATATTTAGTGAGCATCTATTACATATTACACTAGGCACTGTGGGAGACTGAACAATGAATCAGAAAAGCTTAGACAGTCCACTGAGGGAAGATAATATAAGGCAGATAGTTCTGAATGTCCTAATAAAAGAACAAAAAAAAGAACTGCTCTAAGAATTTAGAAGACGGAGAACATTCTTCCTCCTGGGAGAATCTGGAAAGTTTCTTAAAACAGGTTGCATCTGCATTCAGTCTTAAAACATGGGTATGGCTTTGACTTGCAGAGATGTGAAGAATGGGCACAAAAGTTCACATAACAGGATAAGCAAAGGCCCAGTGGAGTTAGTGTTCTGTTTGGCTGCAGTATAGCAGAACAGAAACAGGAAATAAGGTTGGAAAGCTGGTCGGGCCAGATGTAGAGGGGCTTGAAGACCAAGCCAAGAAGTGTACATACACCTTTGTGAACAGAGCAACACTTCTCAAACTTAATTGTGCACACAAATCACCTGGGGATCTTGTTACAGCAGACTGGGAGTAGGACCTGAGATTCTGCATCTCCAAAACCCCGGCGGTGCTATCTTGGGAAACCACATCTTCAGTATCAAGAACACAGACATCGGGGGGCCATTACACAGAGAGACTGCCTGATCCCCAGGGTGTTCCAGGAAGACTAAATCTGATAATAATGGATCAGGCAGATTGGAATGGGGAGAAGCTAAAGACTGTTGTCCGCAACGCCGGTCGTTCGTTAGAATCATCTGGGAAGCTTCTACACCACACTGTTACTCGGGCCTTACTCCCGGAGATTCTGGTTTAATTGATCTGGAGTGGGGCCCAGATTTCAGTATTTTTAAAAAGTTCTCCAGGGAATTCTAATGTGTGGCCAGGATTGAGAACCTCTGCTAAAGATGATACAGTAAGTATTGCAATCACTCAGGCAAAGATGATGATGATCTAAACTAGTGCAATGGCAGTGAGAACAAAGTGAAGGGGCCAGTTGTATAAAATACTGTAAATGTAGAAGGAATAGGCTTTAGCAACTGTCTGCACAGAGACTTAGATTTATGGCTACAACATTCATTTCTTCCAGTTAAAGACAGTTTGGTGAAATGGTTAAGAACACAGACTCTGGAGCCAGATTGCCTGGGTTTGGATTTCAGCTCTGCTATTCTGCTATTTATTTATTAGGGGTGTGTGTGTGTGTGTGTGTGAGAGAGAGAGAGAGAGAGAGAGAGACATTGGGCAAGTTCCTTAACCACTTTATGACTCAGTTTCCTCATCTGTATGTTGGGGATATAACAATAACTAACATATGGAGTTGTGAAGATTAAGTGAATTAACAAATATGTGAAAGCCCTTAGAACCATGCTTGGCATATAGGAAGAGCTTTAAAGGCGTTTGCTGTTATTATAAGCATGGTTTATCATCTATTCTGATCTCTCCAAGGTATCGAACTGAATGTAAGACTGATCTGGAAAAGGAGAAGTCCTTGAGGGCTCTCAACCCTCAGCCAATTTGAAATCACTAGGTCACCTGCTTCATAAATACAATTCGATGGAGGTGGCACACCCTGCCTCCCTCCATCCCGGACCCCATTCTCAAGGTCTCTAAAGGTAACAGCCACAGTGTCCCTACTTGAACTGCTGGTCCTTGGTGCTTCGCGTCTTGGCCAGGAAGCGCTCTGCCAGCTTCTCCAGGTTGCGGGAGTAGTCCATCTCGATCTCAGCCTTCTTCCGGAAGAAGTCCTGGAGGTCCTGCAACAGCTGCACCCGGAGCTCACACTGCTGGTCCAGGCATTTCATCTGCTCTGTGAGCTGAGCACGGATCTCTGCAATGAAAGCGAGGTGAAGCAGTCAGACAGAGATCCCTGGAAAAAATCATAACACCAACATTTACCCCTTCCATTTAGTTGTTCCCTGTGCTATGGGGAGCTTAAATGCTTTAATTTTTAAAATGTGATGTGAGGCACCACCAAAACTCACCAACTCTTTTCAGACCCTTAAAGAACACTGAAACCAGGGATCTGCTAAATCATTTAAGAGAAGCTGCTTATCAGACATAATAATACTCAGAGCTACCCCTTAATGAGCAATTTATTGTGCTTCCAGCACAGTGTCAGAATGTAGGCTCCCTTCTGGCAGGGAGCCAAATGAATTATCTCCCAACCATCCTATTAGGTTAGTACTACTTTCATCCCTATTTTAAAGATGAGAAAACTGACTCTTAAAAAGAAGTCAAGCTATTAGGTGGTGGAGCCGGGATTCAAACCCAAACAGCTTCACTTCAGAGCCCAAAGTCCTACTTTTTATACTTTCTCCCATTATTTCAAACTGTTTTTCCACATCTTCATGAAGCAGGGGGAGAGGTCAGGATATTTTAATGGAGATAGAAAGGGCTCTGCCCAAGGGCAAATAGTGGCAGTCAAGAATGAAACAAGCACCCAGACCTCTAGGCATGCAAACCATTAACTGTCAATCGGATTCCATAGTTTCCAACACCACTGAATGTAATCAATCTTCAAGAAGCTGATATTTTCACCAACAAATATCACTCATATCTCTGATGCTTCATCCTCACGGATGCTCAGAGCCTCTGCCGTGTCAAAGCTAGAAATATTTCTGGTTAAGCTCTAGCTTGGCAGCTTTCTGGCTGGCCAGAATGCTCGTACAGGGTTAGCAAACACCCTCTCTGGAACTGCAGCAATGGCAGCTTCATATACAACCAGATCTGCCTCAGATGCAATACTGCATTCGTTACTGACAAGAGACCTGGCACCCACAGGAAGCAGTTTGCCAAAGCCAGACTGCAAGGCCTGCAGTGCGTATCCTGCTGAAGTTATGTCCCAATCCCCATCTGAGTCACAGTGGAGTCACTTCTTTCAACCCTTTCTTCCCCACCCCCCAACAAGCCTGCTCAGCTCCAATAGCTTAGGATGTGACAGTAACTCCAATCCCAGGGAAAAAGAGCACCTGTATTATTACACCTTTCCTCTGCATGCTCTAAATTCATTCCTCAACAGTAGAGTTGTAACAGTGCTTTCAGTCTATGCTCTGTAATGCACAGGGTGGGGGTGTGGAATCTAGAGTTTTCATCTGAGCTGCAGATAAATCAGAGGCAAATCCAGGAACGAAGCTATGATGTTGAAAATTCTGCCAACCACTCCTTTTATGAAGCAGTGAGGGATGGGCAAATGGTACATTGGGCTTTGCCTTGGAGTAGCTGCAGGCCCATCATCCATCCCCATCTTCATTTTTGTTTGTTTTTACAGATATCAGGATGTACCACAAGTATCTGGTCCTTTATGGGTGATCTCAGGTGATCTGTGAGTGTAGTTCTCACCCTCTTCGGCTCCCTGCCTCCTCCCGTGCCAACCACCAATGCCAACCAGGCCTGCAGTAACCTCACCTGAACTGAAACTGAGCACCGGAGGATTGTTTCAAGCAGACAGAAGGCTGCGCAGAAAAGCCGCCTACCTCATCAAAGCTCTCTTGTTCTGTGTTTTTTTGGAGTCTGATTACAGGGGTGTTGGGGGGAAGATCTGTAGAGGGCATGCCAGGCATCTGGTTCCTGCCAGGGATTTCTGGGCCTCTTAAAGGCAACAGCCCTTGCCGAGACTATTCCTCGAGGCATCTGTCCTCTTTCTATCTTTGATAGATAGAAGTAATAGCTGGTAGTAGTAGCCACTGGGTAGGCAGACTGTGGGTGGAGAGGACATTCTCAATGCTCATTGATATTACTTACAACTTGTCCATTAAATAAGAATCAGAGGGCTTCCCTGGTGGCGCAGTGGTTGAGAGTCCGCCTGCCGATGAAGGGGACATGGGTTCGTGCCCCAGTCAGGGAAGATCCCACGTGCCACAGAGCGGCTAGGCCTGTGAGCCATGGACGCTAAGCCTGCGCGTCCGGAGCCTGGGCTCCACAACGGGAGAGGCCACAGCAGTGAGAGGTCCATGTACCGCAAAAAAAAATAATTATAAGAATCAGGGCATCTTAGGGTGAAAAGGCTTTCTAGGTACCCAGTCAGTAACAGATGTGCAAGAGGATGTGGATAGGCAAGGGGCTGCCAGCCCTCTCTGAGTCACTTGTAATTCATTTAAGACTTTGCCTCAATAAACTAACTAGTGGAGCAGAAAGGGAGCACAGGAGGATGGATGATGCCCACCTTCGCCATAAAAAGAGGAGGCTAAGCAAATTCCCACAATACCCATAAAGTTCCAGAGGTAGACCACTCCAGGGTTGTCCTGTCTGAGGAGCAAGCACTTCATGGGAGGCCTTTAAGATATGTGAATTAATCTAAGAAGCCCCAACGTGCATCCAGCCAGCATGGAATTCCACCCTGACCTCCTTAGGTGTCTCAACAAATGGGCAGCATCACCCAAAGTGCACCCCAACATCAGGCATCCCCTCCGGGCCCCTGAAGGAAAGGGAGCACGTGCTTACTGAACACCTTTATACACATCACCTCATTTAACCTTTATTACCAGTCCATAATTGGTATCCCCAATTGTCCTGATTGCACAGATGAGAAAACTGAAGTATGACAAGTAATTTACCAAAGGCTCATACAATTAGGTGCAAGTGGGGTTGAAGCCAAATGAAGGTTTGCCTTGACTTGTCAAAGAGGTTGTCAGTGGCGCAGGGAAACAAGAGAAACGGACAAGAGTCTGGGGTCTCTGAGGTATTTCTGGGGGAATCACAGTTTTTCTCGCTCCAAACCCTGGAATGTCCCCTTCCCCACCTTCCAGATGAGGTGGTGACTCAGGCCCCCAGAGTCAAGTTTGAAGTAGCCCGGTGACTCACTAACTAGCCCATGTTTCAACTAGTCCACAACTGGGCTGGATCCCTTCCTGCTTCCTAGATCTCCTCTACAGGGCAGCTTTGAAGGAAGTGAGAATGCGATATCCCCACCCCAATCCAGGAAAAGGAGAGTCTCTGCTAAGAGATACCACCTGCCACTGTGGTTAATTAGTGATGCGACTCCACTGAGCATCTCCCCTCCCCCACCCCTCCCCATGGAAGGAGATGCCGCCCTGGCTCCCACCCTCAGAGCCTCTGCTCAGGCACTTAAGGGAGACTCCAACTACCCCCATCTCCAGGCCTGCAGCTCCAAGACAGAATGGCTGCTCTGTCCAGGGCAAAACGTGCTCTGTCCAGGCTTTTGCTGCTGCTGCTTTTGCTGCAAAGACAAACAATGGTCCCCAAGAAGGCAGCTGTGCCAGCCCCAGTCCTCTGTCCATGCATATGAGGGGCAGGAAACAATAGGCCACTGAACGCCAGCACGCCTGGGCCACGTGCCCAGGCTGGAGGCCCCTCTGTACCCTGGCCGACCAATAAACTACAAGGGCAGAAAGAAGAAAGGGGCAATTTATAAAAACATGGAGGAATTCCTCACAGTTCCATCCACACAGTTCCAGAATGCACGTGCACACGTGTATACATGCAAAGACACACAATCATACCACCCACAGTGCTTCACCACATCAACCCAAGAAGCCTTTGCAAATTCAGTTTATAGTTGGATGAAAGTTCCTGGGAGCTGGGGATGATGGGATCTTTGTAGGTTCTGTCCCTAGAACTACACTGAAGAAGTCAAGTTCTCACGTTCTACATGCAGCGATATCTCAGGGCTATAAATGTATTTCATGGCCATCCAGAAAGCCAAAGTACAAAGGTCACCATGAACGACCTGGAGTGATACATGCCAAAAATGACCTCCCCTGGGCACCTCACACAGCCCATTTATTCAGCAAATCTTTACTGTGCCCCTACTGTATAACAGACCCTGTGCTAGGTGATGGAAACAGAGGACAAAACAGGCCCAAGCCCTGCCCTAATGAAGCATGGCTTGACAAGAAGAGGAAGGAAAAGAAAGCAAAGACAGTCTCATTACTTTTGCTTCAAATATTCTTTATTATAGATAGCCATGGTATTAAGCCCCCAGCTAAAGACCAAAGATTTAAAAATCATCAGTAGCAGGCAAAAGATATTAGGCAACAAGCCTAAGAACATTTCAATGTCCTCTGACTCTTTTTCTATTATTATGTTTTATAAAAATGACACTTGAATAAAAACTGCAGCTTCCCTTGCAAAAGGGGCCAAAGTTCTAGAACAAGTTTCTTGAAAATCAGAGTTAACCTGTGGTTAGCATTTCATTCAAAGATTCAAGTCAAAATGTTAAGTCCACTGTTCTGGAACTAGACTGTGACGATGGTTGCACAATCTTGTGAATATACAAAAACAAAAAACCCACTGAACTGTACACTTCAAAGGGGTAAATTTTATGGTATGTGAATTATATCTCATTACAAAAATTGAACCCCACCAACACAGCATGTCCTGCTGAGTGCCATCCTGCCAACTAAGGGGAAAATGGTCCAGCAAACAGGCACCAAAAGGAGGAAGGAATTCTTGGTTTCCATTTCTCCACTTGTATGGGCTGATTCAGTTCTGTGCATTGAATTTTTTTTTTTTTTTTTTTTTTTTGGGGTACACAGGC